GGCCTGCAGCCCCGCCGACGGCTCCTGCGCCTGCGCCCCCGGCTGGCTGGGGGACACCTGCGAGCTGCCCTGCCCGGTGAGTGCCCTTTCACTGTGATTATTTTGTCTGCAGAGGTGTTACTGGACCAGGTCGGGGGACACTTGGATTCAGGTCCCAGCCCCAGTTCTGGCCCCTCTGTCCTACATCACACCTCAGCCTTCTCGCCTGTAAAGTGGCAGATACTTGGCAGATACGGTGACGTGGCCTCCCTTTCCCCCAGGTGCTCCTGGGAAGCATTAATGGACTGGCACATTTACGCAAGCCCAAATGCAGCTTCAGAATCCCGCACGACACAGCGCTACAGGACGGCCCTTACTAATCCGTCGGTTGCCGTTCCTTGATAGATAACGTCTAAGCTTCTTTCTGGTTCCAGCAGCCTGTAATTTTATGATCAGGCTGTGGGAGGACTAAACCGAGCATTATCCAACAATGACCACCTGGACTTAGTCTAAGGGGCAAATAGATTAAACCAACTGATGAGATATTGTTGAATCAGTCCTGGGTTCGAATCCTGACTTTGCCTCACTCTACCTATGTTACCTGGAGCATGTTACTTCACCTCTCTAACCCTATTTCTCATCTATAAATTATGAATGTAACAGAACTGCTTCATACAGTTGCTGTGAGGATTAAGAGAAATGAGTTACATAAGGTTCTTGATACCTCACGAGCATGCAACAAATGTTAGTTGCCGCCTTCCTGCCTGGTAACGAAGAATAAATCAGTCATTCCTCACATGTGATCAGTGCTTTAAAGTTTGCAAAGTGCATTTTCATTTACAATTTTAATTAACGGTCATTCCAGCTCTCTGAGCCTGACCATTGGGAGGTAGGACAGGACCATCACCTCCCTCCTTCCAAACTGCATATTCTTATTAATGTAGCCAAAGAATGACTTGGATGTGTTGATTCCCCAGTTTCTCTGCATCTTTGTTGGGCAGTGGCTCAGTTTTGTCATCAAAATCGAACAGAAGTGTGTGAGCCTCTGGGGGCCTGGGGCTCATTGTTGCTGTCGCCTGTCTCTCCCCAGGATGGCACGTTTGGGCTGAACTGCAGTGAGCGCTGTGACTGCAGCCATGCTGATGGCTGTGACCCCATCACGGGCCACTGCTGCTGCCTGGCTGGGTGGACAGGTAACCCCTGCTGCGTCATGGCCCAGGTCCTGTGAAACTGGGCTCTTGGTTTCTCCTCCTTCTCTTGACTGTTCTTTCTCTTTCTCCTTCTCTGCTTCTTTCTCCTCTACATTTGCACCTTTCCTTTATTTCCTCTGGGCTTCAGTTCCCCAATTCATTCAATTCAAGTAAATGAATATTAACTGAACACCTATTACGTGTAGGCTCTGTTCTAAGGACTAGGGACAGATCCGTTTTTTAAAAAATCAGACAAAAGTGTGGGCTCAGTCTATGTTTGCAGAGGATATGGTGGAGAGGGGGCCAAGGAGCTTTCTCCTTAGCCCAGGATCTCCTGGCCCCCACATGTGTCCTGTCAGCCGACCCCCTAAATACATGGCAAACCCATCCATCTCTCTCCAGCCACTGCCTCCACCCTCATCCCCTCTCTCTCAGCTGGCACTGCCTCGGCCTCCTTGTCTCTGGGCCTCCCCTCTTGCTCAGCTGCATCCACTCTGCACATGGTGGCCAGAGTTAATTTTTCAAAACCCAGATCCATTCACATCATTCTCTGCTCAGGATGCCTCAGTGGCTTCTCATGTCACTCCTAGACAATTCAAAATCCTTTCAGGGGGTCAAGGTCCTCGCGATCCGGCCCTGCCCAACTCCTCTACCTCTCTTTTGCCCCCTCCCGTCACCCACTTCACTCCAGCCACCAGGGCCAGCCACCTTCCTGACTCCAGGCCTGTGCAGGTACATTCCTCCTGCCTGGATCACTCTTTCCCCTTCTCTTCACCTGATAACACCTTCTCACTCCCCGGATTTCAACCTAAAGATTGCTTCCTCTGAGGGCTACCATCACCCCCAACCTGGCCAAGACAATGAAAGAACCCCAATTATTAACTCTCATAATACCCTATAGTATCTTGCAGTACTTGCTTCAATTGTCATTGAACTCTGATTTGAGTTTACTGTTTATTTTCTGCCTCCCACCTTGACCATCAGCTCTGTGGAGGCAGGGACCACATCCGCCTTGTTCATCGCTCTCTCCGCTGCCTGCCACACACTGAGATAAAGATAACACAGTGGCTAAGGACACAGAGCTGGAGCCAGATCACCTTGGGCAAGTCCTTTAACCCCTGGGCACCTGAATTCTCCATCCATAAAATGTGGATAATTATAATCCTTATAACTACAGGGTCATTTTGAAGTTTAAATGCATTATTAATACCTCTAAGTGCTAACAGTGCCTGGCACATAGTAGGTGTTTGGTCAATGTAAGCCATGAATACAGTGTTTAATAATGACATGTTGCATGAATGAACCCACTAGCCAACCCCAAGGTGGTGGACAGCAAGGAGAAAGAAATACAGGTATTACTGGCAGTGTCGGTCCTCAGATAAATAATTCACACCAGGCTGCTGGGCAGTGTCTGTGCCCCACAGGCAGAAAGTATCTGAGCAGCTGCTCCACCCTGGTCACCGATACCCTAGCTCTTAGCTGGAGCCCCATGGAAATCCA